ATCTCTGAGTTCTTTACTCTCTATGTTAACTTAATCCTTCAAATCTCGGGGTAAGCTCGAGCCCGATCTCAAATCTCGAGACCACTTGCTTAGTCTCGCCGAACGAGTCGACGAGGCGTAACAATATGAATAAGTTGGTGCCCTAAAACGAGTTTCTACAGACGAGCGATCACTTTGTAAGGCTACAATTGAAACTATTGTAAGTGCAGACTATTAGAAGCTCTATTAGGAATCCTAAGAGCTTTTAACAACCATTGCTAGGTCTGAGGTTCGAAGGCTCGTATACTAAGAATTTGCTATTTCGACCAAATGCCAATATAGTTTTCTAAAAAAAAAAAAAAACACATACCTCACTCGAGCGAAAAACCGGAGATTTTTCCTGTCAGCCAGAGAACCGAAGATTGGTCCGGAGACCTGACAATTGTGCTCCTAACTTGTAAATATTGCAAAAATTGCCACTGTTTTCGCGTAAAAATTACAGAATTTAATTTTTTAGGCACTACGCGTAACCGATTCAAATTCGAACAAAGAATAATAAAAATAAAGAGCTACATTCTTCCAATGTTCATTTCTATCAATGTATGCATAGATTAAATTATTTTTTTTAATCTCAGTATTTTTACGTCAAATTTAAAAGGAAATACGCATCTTTTCGATATGCTAAGATATTATAATTTGTAATTAATAATCTACAAAAACTAAGTATAGGAACTATGGGAACTACGTTCGAGAAGCATACTGTTAATCTATTACCCCATTCCATCCTTGTTTTACATCTCTAAAATAATAAAAAAAAAAAATAACGCATTAACATTCACGTACTAACGCTGTCGATTCGATTGGACTCGATTGTATGCGACTGCCGCTCTCCAAGTCTCCACTACCGTCTAACGAATCGATCCGATCACGGCCTGTCGGCTGCAGTCAGCCCAACTCGGCCGTGGAGAAAGATTGGCAATGTGAAAGATGAGAAAGCGCGTTATAGCGAAACGATATACATAGATAGAATCTATGAATGACTTATGTTACACATACGGCGACAGCATCCGTAATTATGAAACTATAGTCAACGACAGCCATTCCATTCTTCATAAGAATAGCTATGATTGCTTCCGCTATTTTCTCTAATAATAGCTAATTTCACCGATTACAATTTACGGAATGAACGAAAGTTGCAAATAACTTTAATATGCCGTTGACATATATTACAGTCATCGTTCAAACGACATTTTTTACGATTATTTATATGCACTGTTTATCTCGTTACTGCTTTCACGTATATATCCCGTAATCTAAAAGGAAAGCATCCTATGATTCCGTTTATTTTCTTTCTCCTATGTCTCATTGATGAGCAGTAACCACCCGAGTCTTGCTGCATCACCCGGCATCACCCGTCTTGAACGGACGCGTCTTTGTCGGGTGCTTGTTTCCGGCATATTTTTGAAAAGTGTTACCGACTTTGACTGTGCCTTGCGATTACACGAAATCCGCCTAGCGGTCCCGCGATTTTGGATGTCTCGTTCATTCGTCTTTTTATATTAATTCATATTATTTTTACATTATAATAAAAGGATTATCGGGTGAACTTCCTGACGCGCGTATTTAGCGGCGTGACGATGTCGTGGACGCAGACGCCCGGTGTTCGTGCGGTTCTCGCCATTTTCGCGGGTTATTGTGTCATATTTTTTTTTTTTTAATGTTACTCACCCCTTTGCGCGTCATTTTCGTTACTGGCCGTTTCGACCTAGTTCTGGTCAAGTGCCATTCATTGAAGAAGAAGGAGAAGAAGCAGTAAACACGGCAAAATGGAATCAAGATTCAGCCAATCACGAAATAATTATACTGTGGCGATTGCATCACCACAAGTCCAAAATGCTGCAAGAATAGTCGTTGCGAGCGGACACGTACACGCATACATACATATACATACGCCGAGTATACACAGTCGATAGGTATATACGAATACGTTAAACGCGAAAACAAAGATACAGCCTTTTAAACTCGTAAAGTTTTTCACGCATTTCTTAGGCTGGTTGAGTATATCAGGAAAGGCTATAGATATAGGTAATATGTATTCTGTAACGTATAAAATGTATTTTTGTAGAACTTTTTATATTAATTCATATTATTTTTACATTATAATAAAAGGATTATCGGGTGAACTTCCGAAAGTGGCCAACGCCCGATTATCATGAAACTTGGCAGAAATGCTCCAAATGACGTCAAATGAATGCCCTTAAAAGGATTTTCACCGACAAGAAAGTTTAATGCCAAAAATGTTTGAATGAAATTGTGCATGTGCGTATGCATGGTGTGTGTAACGTATTATTTCTGCTATATATGTATACAATACACACACACACACGCACGCACGCACGCACGCACACACACACGGGGGTGGGGGTGCAAGGTGATGGCCTACGGCACCCCCCCCCCTCGCGCATCCACCCCGTCGGTACAGGGTCTACACCTTTCCCTGTTAAGAAACGTTGAACTTTCCATAAATTTTTCCCCCCCCCCCCCCCCTGCACAGGGGCACACGACTTCTACGATTATATTATTGCTATGATAGTACTGTCGTGGCAGACGGTGTGGGTGCGGGGGGGTGGCCAAAGGCCACCCTCTTGCACCCGCCCGTGTGTGTGTGTCTATGCATACGACTTCTATAATTGTATTGTTGCACGTGGGGCGGGACTCACTGTATCCACGTATACACTTTACAACGTAGAAATAAAACGTCATTCTTTAAACTTTTTTTGAGAAAAATCGCTTCACGTTGAAAATCTAAAAGTGTAAAGTATAACGTTTTATTTCTGCAACTTCATTCAAACATTTTTGGCACTAAACTTTCTTGTCGGTGAAAATCCTTTTAAGGACATTCATTTGACGTCATTTAGAGTATTTCTGTCAAGTTTCATGATAATCGGGCGTTGGCCATTTTCGGAAGTTTATCCGGATTATCAAACGATATTACAAAATTTAATGGTTTAAAATTAACGACGACAACGTAGATAAATACACGCGAAACAATATTTATCGAAAATAGAAATTGCGTGAAAGACGCAAAAAGAAGCAAGAAGCGAGCGTGAGATGTGGGATAGACAGTCGCTCAGCTGACGCGTGTTTGAACAGTCGCGTTTCGTAGAATTCACTATCTTATTCCGTGAAAGTATAATAAGTGATACCGCGACCAAATTATAAAAAACTTTGTTGTACCAAGCGGTTATAATCGAGTATATTTCTTTTCTCACGCGCTTGTAGTTATATTTTAATTAAATACTGAACGAACTTATAATTTATTTCTTTTTCTTTTTTTTATTTGGTGACCTGAAGACATTCCGCTGTTATTTTCCGCCTTCCTTTTATTCTTTTATTGATGGAGTTAACTGACTAAGAGACTAACAGACTAAAAAGACTAAAATGCAATTATGTTAAAAATATTTTACTGCTAAAGAATTTGTATTGTTCATCTCAGTTCGTATAATATTGGGGGGACTACATATATTAATAGGACGTTATTTCTTATTTTAAATAAATATTGCGAAGAATATTACTACGTTGACTCGCCATCGCAGAGGTCTAGCGATATTCGCAAATTCTCGTAAGTGCTGAGACCCGCGTATATCTCTTTATATGTATAGAATCTCGATGATAACTTTCCAAGGCGTATAAGGTAGGCTTCTATAACAATGCCTTACTGATGAGTCCAGTAGTGGAAACCGGGATAAAACGCCAAAAATTACGTGATATTCTTCGCAATATATTAAAATAAATTATCAGAGTTATTTAGATTTTTAATTGTAATTTGACTCTTTTACTTCGCCCTTTAACGTATTGATTATTCGTATAGTGTTTTGTTATGCCCGTTCCGTGCCGACGCGACGGCCGTCGACGGCCGTCGGATTGTTCCCGTTTCGAATCATTTCGAATTCGAAATGAGGAACGCGTTGTCGAAACGACATCTTTCGGTAATAAACCGTTTGGAACTGACCGTTGCTTCGTTCGAACGTGTGTCACGTCAGCTCCTGCTTTTCCGTTCTCCGATCGCTCTGTACCGCTCAAAATAAAGAGAGTTTTCTGTTCTTCCGCAATCTTGTGTTTTATTTTCCGTGTCGCGGGAGCGCGGACTTGCTCGAATTCGCGAATCGATCGGGCGGGCGTAACAATATCATTATATTTACATTAAAATCTTATTTTTATTATTACAAGTATCGTAAATAATCCGATGTTATATTATTCCGCTTGTTCCGCTTTCGTTTTTCGCTCCAGGAGATACAGGATTTTAGAGGAAAGGAGAATTTTATAAAAGACAGCGGGATGGCTGTGATTCGTCGTACGTATTGATTCCGCAAGTCCGTTCCGTTAAAAATTTTTGCTCTATGAATGAGACGCCAGCTTTATTGAAACCGCTTAATTAAGGAAGGATGCCGTGAAAACATGCAGTAGTCATTCATAGATTCTATCATATCGGGATAAAGATGAGAAAGCGTATTCTCTCATCTTTCACAAAACGTACACCTACAAGCCGACGGCCGATGGCAGTGACTAGCAGTGACGGCAGTCGCGTTAACCGGGTCGATGGCATTGATATATATATATATATATGTGTGTGTGTGTGTGTGTGTGTGTGTGTATGTGTGTGTGTGTAGTTATTGCGTTATTCTCTTTTTTCATTATTCATTAGATATGTAAAACATATGGCTAGAACGCGCGGCAATAGACTGACGACGGCAAGCTCCTCGAACATTTCCGAGTTCTCACTTAGATTTTGCATGTTATCAATACATGCAATTACAAATTATATCTTCATATATCAAGAAAAGATAAATGTATACTTCCATTTTTAATCTGACAATAAAATATCGAGATTTTTGAAAAATAAGTAATCTACACAGACGATCGCTTTCGGCCGATGCACAAAAGCCGACGGCCGACGGCAGCGACGGCAGTCGGACAGCTAGACAACTGACTACCGAATCGACGGTATTAGGTAGACAGTATTGAAATGGCAAGTCGAGTTGCCAGTGTCGTTCGTCAAGTGAAACCAATTTTATCTTTAAATCGAGACGATGCACGTAGAAAAGTTCTTAAGTTGTACAAAGCATGGATCCGTCAAGTACCAATCTCAAGTTCGTAACTCTCGTTGTCATATGTTGCAAATTGCAAGCTTCTTCATTCATTACCTATATCCTAACCTACGTTCTATAATACGCGACCATTCATTTATTCTAATTGTTTAAATATCGTGTTCGTCTTACCTACACTTCATCTAATATGATACACTAAATCTTAACAATATACTCATTACTTAGTACGTTACTTTTCAATAATATAAAACAATTATTTTCAGTTAAATAAAACTATTGCAATTTTGTTAATTCATTTTTTGTGTTCTCAAACGAGTAATGATCACTTCTTTTTTTCTAGAGTTAGTTTATGATATTCCCAAAAATGAAGCGGCTTGTAAACAAAAGATACGTGAGGAGTTTAAGCGCCATGCTCATCTTACTGATTTACGGATTATAGACAAAGTTATTATAAGGGTAAGAATAAGAATCTATATAAATAAATACCAGCAACTAATATAACTTTAATTATCTACAAATAATCATGATACATGTAGTATATACATACTGTTGAAAGAATTTTATAGACTGTGTTCTGATATGTGCTCTTTTATTGAAAATTTATAATTTATTATGTATGTATATACTATATTTTGTCAGTACTGACAGTGTGTATGTTGGAATATATTGGCCATGATATATTTAAAATAAATGTTGCATATAATACACAAATAGTTTTGTATAATACAAAAAGTATATTATAAAAAGTCTATGGATAGCATTTATACTGATTTAATAATTAAAAAGTTTGCTTACAACATATTATGTAAACAATATCAAATCTTATTTGGATCATGAGAGTTTTTAAACTGAATACTGATGAGAATAAGCCATTTATGATCAAGCTGGATATTGGAAGCTTCTAATATAATTTTGTGTGAATTTATATACTACATATGTAGATCTTTAATTGTACGCCAAAATTTTTTCAGACTTACAACGTAAACTAAGCTACAGCAGTAATATCACAAGTTAAATTGACTGACAATCTAACAATTTTTTATGCTTATAGCATTTTGGATCTTAATAATATATTGCATGACATATTAAAATCTATGAATAGTTTATTAAAAGTCTATAAATAATTTAATTACATTGTGAAAAATATTACCTATAGCATCCAAGATCCAGCTTGACCATAAATGGCTTTTTCTCATCGGTATATAATATATAAAGT